GCTATGTGTTACTATAATTACAAGACATGTAAATTGTGTACACATCAATATCCAAGATGTAATTTTAAATGGGTAACTCTGCTGCATCCAACTTAGTTATACAGAAGTGCTTGAAAATGGAAACAAACATGAACGCCATTTAAGGTAATTAAGCCCAAATTGTATGGATTTAATAATATTGAATGATATTGACCATACAAAGTCCCTCGCACTTATATCTTGGGATGTGTAGTGATCTTTCCCATCCTTACCACCATGAAATGAACATGACGTTAGACCCCACCTCTCACCCAGTAAGGGGGAGATTTTTCAGAAAAGGCGACGATGGATCCAGGACAAATTCTTGTACCATTTAATTTGTAGGTTTTATGTACACGTATGTGTTCATTTGAAGCTGAGATGTTTCAGTTGCACCTGATGAGCCGTGCTGCCTCGCCAGACGTCACTGTTGCAGATTCACTAAATAAACATTCACTCAGACTTTTTTTGTGCTCTTTTTTGATTTCATCCCCCACCGCCACCGCCTTCACCGCCGCGGCTCTGTAGGAGGATTTTCCCATCCATTGCTAAGGGAGGCGTGCTCCATTGTGCAGCTTCTAATGATGATTGTAATGATGGCTTGTCCATCTTTGATAAGAAACAGCACGCCCCTCATTAAAGGGCCCGGGGCCCCGGTTCTCATGGCTGCCGGTCCTTCCCCGGAGTCGGACAGCAGGCGAGGGGAGGCGAGACGACACCCGTGGCACACGCCTGTTGACCGAGCCACAAAGCAAAAGCGTGTGACACTCACCCCACCCCCGCCGGTCCCATTGTCCTCCCCGTGGGTCCCACAGACAAGACCAATCCTGTTACCCTCCCACCCCTCACCCACCCCTCCTCGCAACCACAAAAACCACAACACACACTCGTATGGCTGCTCTACACACACTCCCCTTCTTCCTTTCCCTCTCTCCTTCACAATCAATTTTACCAATCAGCTGATCTCTCTCTTTCTCACACATCCACCAGGGGTTGCCCTCATCCCCTTCTCCTCCCACCCTCACCCCACCTCTTCCATCAACTCCCCCTTCACCATCAGCTGCTACGTAAGGTGGAAATCCATCATTGTGTGTAAAGAAGGTGCTCGTGCATGCTGCGCAGCCATTACCATACACACACACTTAGTGGGGTGTGTTTTGGGGGGGATGATTGGTCCAGGAGGTTAGGGGGTGCTCTAATTCACTGATTCACATGCAGACAGTATTTCTTGGGGTGTTGGAGGAGGGTGTGGCAGGTGGGTGGGGTCTGGGTTTTAGGGATGCTGGATGGTGGTGGTGATGGTCGTGGGATGGAGGAGAGAAGAGGAGGAGGGGGAAGGCACTGGGGGAGGGGGGGTTGCCGCGGCTGCCGGGGTCAGGCCTGTGTGTCCTGGGAAAGTTGGGTTCTCCATTTAAATCTGCACATGTTGCGGCCTTCTGGTGGCTGCGTGAATGCGCACGGTGACAGATGGCCCCAGCCCATAACTATAGAGTCCGAGCACCCCGGTCCCCTGAGGGAGAGGGAGAGAGAGAGAGAGAGAGAGAGAGAGAGAGAGAGAGAGAGAGGGAGAGGGTGCAGGGGAAGAAGAGGAGAATGTAGCGCTCAGCTGATCCCATCAAAAAGAGAGATGAGAGAAGGAGGAAAGGCAAAAGAGGAGGAGGAGGAGGAGGGTTGATGAAATGTGTGTGTTTGTATCTGTGTGTGTGTGTGTGTGTGTGTGTATTATAAGGGGGGAGGGGTGGGTCCTTAATCCCAAACTCTAAATTGAGTTAATGTATTTGGCTGGTCTGCAAACTCCAATAGGAGGCCCAGGGTCCCCAAAGATTCTGATTAGGTGTCTAGTTTATCAGATGTTGGAGGAGGAGGAGGAGGAGGGAGACTGTTTGTACATGAGTAGAATAGCAGCTTTGTATGTTATGTGTGTGTGTGTGTGTGTGTGTGTGTGTGTGTGTGTGTTGACAGGGTTTATGGGTTTCTGGGTTTTGTGCCAGCTTCTGGAGCAGGGCTGCCCGATGTCTCCATTCACAGAGCTGGAAGATCTCTGTTGTTTTTCACTGACTCTTCATTAATCCTGTTACGCAGCGATGTCAGCGCCTGGTTAAAGATCATTTTTAGCAGCACCAGCTGAGACACAGGTTTGCTCTTGTACGTCTATCTTTATGAGGACCGACTTTTGTATAAGGCATTGGGGGGGACATTTTTGAGAAGTGAGGACATTTTTTGCAGACTTCTTTAAAGGCGTGCTGAGTGTCAGTGGTTATTAATATAGCAAACTGTACACACAATAAAAGTCCTCTGTTTAAAGGGTCAATTCACCCAAACTATGAAATAACATTTTCCTCGATGTGAGTTTGGTTTAAATGAAGAGATTTTAGGATCTGCCACTGGGACTCCTGGAACCTGGAAGCAAACAAAATATACTTAGTGATGCACCAAAACTACTCTGCCACTATCACTGCTATATGCCACTCACTGTCAGTAATATGATGACTGCATCGTATAATGTTGCAACGACTGTGACTGTTACTGCTACAAAATATAGTTTCTTTTATTTATTCAGGGTTTTTTGTATGCACAGTATGAGACACAGAAAACAACAATAAAAATAAATTAGAAAGACATAAATTAGATAAAAGTTAAAAAAAATAAACACTGCAAACTGTGCCAATGCAAAAAGTATAGAGGAGAGTTTTATTTTTGCACAGTTTAAAATATGCACAAAAATGAGAGAACAAATAAAATAGAGGCTTATCTGAAATCACCAAAATAATGTCAAAATGATTTAAATTAGAATCGTGTGCTCTGTTTAAATGTAATCTTCCAGTTTAACACACAGAAACATGACCTTCGTTTTAGAATAATGTTTAAAAAGTTTTTTTTGTGGGGTGCATAGCACATATGAAGGCTGAGTCGGATCTCTTAACACAAGATAGGATAACAGGATGATCCAGAAATGTTTCACATTGGTCATAAGAGTGAGACTTTTCAATGTTTACATTATTTAAAGTTTTTATACCAAACACAATGTCAAATTATAGTATTCTGGGAATTATAAGGCTTAGCAACATTGCATTGAATAATTTAAGTGATATATGTCATCATAGCTCAAAATATTGCTAAATATGGCTGAAGTGGTACTAAATAAACAGTCGCTTGGGAGCCAGAAGAGCCTGAATTCCCATCACTAGACATGTCTCTGCTGTCAATATCCAAATAATCTTTTGACCTCGTAGAGTCACATGGTCTACTATAATATCACTGCATTTTGATTTACACATTTTTGTTTATAGATATGTATAACTGTACATATATGTCTATGTCTTTTTAAATTGAACTTGTTCCGTTTATTGTTAATCTGTGTTTGTACATTCAGAGCAACGTAAAACCGGAGTCAAATTCCTTGTATGTGCACAAATACCTGGCCAATAAAAGTGATTCTGATTCTGATAATTATAAATTCTGTGTTTGGTAGAAAATTGTTCCCAGTGAGAAAAGATTTCTGCAGAATATTAAATCTCAGAGACAGACATAACCAAAATGCCATACTGGTAGTCGTAAGGCCTTTTGGCAGTTTGGATGGTCTGACATACATGATGTGTGTGTGTGTGTGTGTGTGTGTGTGTGTGTGTGTGTGTGTGTGTGTGAAGGTATCTTGTTCTTTGCTGGTGCGTATGATTTCACTCCCACTCACTGGTGTTTTTGGTGCTTTTCAATGCACGGCAACACATACACACACACACACACACTCACACACTCACACACACTCACACACACTGCTGTCTCTCTCACCATGTTGTTGCTCTGCAGCCTCCTGGAGAAGTGAAGGCGCATGAAGACGCCGGCTGGGTTCTGTGATTGCTTTCTGCTCGTCCTGTCTGTAATGAGAGAATAAAAAAAAGTTAGTTTAATGGATCAGATGTATCAGGCCAATCTGACAAACCCTTTTTTAATGTGGAATCAATCATTAATTAAAGCTAAAGAAAAAGCAAGCTCTGTGAAACCTGCAGTAAATATTTGTTTTCTATATTTTTAAAGCTTTTATACCACACGGCAGACATGGTGGATGTCTGAAGGAGCTGCTAACATTCAAATCATTTTCAGAGGTTGGTACAGCTTAAGAAGGATGTTTTTACTGTGAGAAAAGGAGCTCATTTTTATTTTTTGATTGAGTGTAGCTGTTTCAGTCCTCAGAAACCCAATATTAGTTGGGCCATAAAATAAAATTCCCTCACATGTCTGAGTATCCAGTATCTGGATTAAGAAACTATGAACCTGTGTGTTTTGCTCATGTTCCTTATTAATTCCCTGGGTGATGAGGATCATAAAAACAACACACTTAAACCAGAAATTATTTTTTCTTTCTTGTTCGCTTGAGATTCTGTGTTCACTGCAGCCTCCTCTCTCCTCTTTTGATGTTTTAATCTGTTTTCAGCTCCAGGCTGTCTTTCTGTGTGTGTGTGTGTTCTCTCTCTCTCTCTCTCTCTCTCTCTCTCTCTCTCTCTCTCTCTCTCTCTCTCTCACTTGCTGGTGACAGTGACAAGATGTGATGATTCATGCTGCATCCAGCCCTTCAGTCCCCCACAGCTGACGTGGTGGCCACCACTAGGGGGCATCAGTCCACCACATCTCCTCCATACAGGCTCCGGTACTTTCCTAAACAGCCTGGTGGAAGTGAAGTTTGGGATCGTCTGATTGAATGGATGTTGTAGGACAGAAGTAGTGAGTCCGACTGATAAAGACAAAGAAATAACACAGTATTTATGTGTGTGTTATTGTCTTCACTCGTTTATTCAAATGTATTCAGCGGGGGGGGGGTCATATTCTGTCTCCATCTGGGAAGAATGTTACAGTTGAATTATAATCTGTTTTAAAACACTGTTGGCAGACAGCTGCAGTGGATGTAATCCTTCTTCTTGGGTATTTTGTAATATATAATTTAGTTATTTATTTATTATGTGGACGATGTTGCGTAAAGATACTCCACAGAATGTGTAAATGCATTTATTACTACTTATACTAAAATGTATACTTCTGTTTCCATCTTTTAATTGGCTCAAGAGGGTGACATACTGTATGTTTTACTCCATGGGATAAAGGCTTCCAGTAAGCTTAGTTCATTTCACTTGGAAAGCTCTGGAGCTTCATATGGTGCTCTGCTCGGTAAGCCTCTTAGGAATCACGTCCACAGCAGATGTAGGGAGAATGCCAATCAGGAGCTCCTGCTGAGCGGAGAAACCCGACGGCTGTGCCACTGCGCGCTTCAAATCTCTGCCACGGTTCACACGAAACGCACCCAAATATCGTTTGTCGCTTTGTGTTTGCACTTTACAAACCTAAACAGCAGCAGAAACTCGTGAGCTGTACAGAAGATGGAGCGCGCAGGGAGTCTCCACCGACTCTGAACCGTCAGACTACTAAAACCAATCGTTCCCTGTCATAACGCAGAGCCATGCTTCCTCAGGATGTTGGGAAGCAGAAGCCACGACGTGTGTCGGAACCGATGTGCGGGGGAGACGGCCCCCCGATCCCCCCTCGGCGCTTAAAGAACCGGGACTTCCCTCTGAGCGTGAAGCGGCGGCGGTCCGGCTCCGCACCTGAGCGCAAGGTGAACTGCGTCCTGGTTGGAGACGGAGCGGTGGGCAAGACCAGCCTCATCGTCAGCTACACCACCAACGGATACCCGACAGAATATGTTCCAACAGCGTTTGACAACTTTACCGGTAATCTTTGACATCAGTGTAGATGATTTTTAGCTTTTACGCACAGGTTTTACGCACAGCGTACAGTTAAGGTTTAAAGCTTTTGGGCAATTTGTTTTTCTTTTATTTAGTTAAATTCCCAGTTTTCCGTTTTAAAGCCTGTAGATTGTGTTCATGTCCGTTTTTTTTTTTATTTTTACCCCACACAGAGAATGATGAAGCATATGTTAGAACAAATCCTTCAGCACATAGCTGACTGTAAATGTTTTTCTATCTTCTCAGTGATGGTTGTGGTTGACGGGAAACCAGTGAGGCTGCAGCTCTGTGACATGGCTGGACAGGTGAGGAGCTTCACCTTCTCTCTTTCACAGTCTCAGTATCATCATAACCTAACATTTAACATGCCGTGGCAGCTGTGTGACAGCTGCATGCATCACAGGTTGCCATTGTAGAAATCTAAACACTCGGTTCACTTCTTTTTTGCATGTTTTCGCATTTCTTTCCCTCCCTGCTTTTTCATGATAGAAATGGGGGCTGGTTGATGGATCAATCAATGTAAGTCATCAGTGATCAATAAGTATTTGTCAGTAATTGGTGTTAACTCTTGCTGCTGTGTTTGTGTCGGTTGCCCCCTGCAGCCTGCTTTTAGTCCTGGGCTGAAATCCTTTAAGACCCCTTTAGTTTAAGTTGCCGCCCGGTGCTAAGTAGTCCTGTAACTCCACAGCTTACATCGCCCCCTGCAGGAATGAACGAATGAATGAGTTTGTAATTCAGAAGTTTTTACCCCCTCTGTCGCCCTGAGCTCCATCGCCCACCTTTGGTCCAGTGTTAGAAATGTCTTATCCATCATACAGTCTTTCCTATGAGGAGATTCCTTTTTATGGTCTGATAATGATAAAGAAAACAAAGATTTTCAAACATAAGCTGGAAAGAAAAACAGTCAAAGGGCAAATTTATCTAAATTACAACAACTTCTCCTTCCAGAAACAGACCTCACCATCAGCAGGTTTAATATATATTTTCTACAAATCCGTGAGACAGAGACAATTAATCCAAAACCATCTGCATGACCAGACAACACAGACAAACAGATAAGTGAGAATTTTGAATGAATCGACCTGAAAAATGTTTTAAAAACTGGAAAGAAAAAAGAAACTGCCTGAAGTTGGCTTCTGATGGGGGAATTCTTCAGGTAAAACATTGATTATTAACATTACAAGGTTCAGAATCAGAGCTCAGAAACCCAACGTTGATTCTCTGTTGTTACAACACGCAAATTTGTCGGTTGTCAACTAGGTACAAATTTTAATATTAAGATCCTAAATCATTTACAAATCAAAAATGTCTGTGGTCTAACGTGGACTACATTAACACAGAGAGCTTAAATACCGTTTTCAGATGTATAAAACTTTTACTTATATACAAATTCAGTTTTCAGGTGCATTAAAACTGTAACAACACTTACCAGATTTGTCAGTTTCATTATGAACATCCAAAGCTTGTTATAAACCTTCTATTCTATGTGTTAAAACAGACAAAAGAATCCAAGTCTGAATAAAAACCTGTCGTAATTCATCTAGCCGGTGTTTTGAGTCCTGTTTCAGTTCTGGACCATTAAGTATCAGAAAAAGGGGAAGAAACATGAATCTACAGCCAAATTAACCCTGTTAAAAAAACATGTTAAAGTTTCCATTAGATCCACTTTGAAGTAGTGAGGACACCGGTGAGATGTTAAAGAAGCTGGTTTTTCTTATTGCCACCAAATCCCATTAAAAGACAACATTGTGTGTGCATTTAAAGCTTCTTCCTCTGTGCCATAGAGCTCCATCGTTCATCAAGTCAGCCATCAGTGAGACACACTGTTGGATTAATCCACCACTGAAAATAGTCCCCAACAAATGCACACTTTCCACCTGTTTGAGTGACGTTTGCTAAAATCGTGAGCGACTGTTTTAATAATTTAAACCTTTTCAAAAATGAAACTATACATTTTTAAGGTGTTTTTAAAGATTTACATCTTCAGTAATAACCATTCGGCCTGGGACTGTAGGGGCCAGTAACACTCGCATAGCTTCGGAAACCCCTTCTTCCTGTTCTACGTCAGATTGTGGTGGCTCAATCACACCTGCATTGGTCACATGTACGGAGAAATGGAGCCAGGATTTGAATTTCCCTTTTTTACACAACTATTTACTCAACTTTAATGTGAAGAACCGAGTGCAAAACTATCATCATGTTCCAGGAGAGACTGTCTGAGAACGTGCACCATTATGCCCATTTACAAGATATCCCCCCTCGCCATGACAGTCGACCCGTCATTCCTCCTTCCAATGTGATCGAACAACTTTTAACAGTTTTGATTTGCGATGTGGTCGAACAGCATGTCACACAAACTACTTTTTTATAGTCAGAAAGAGGTCAGAAAGAGACTAACACAGCGTTGGTTTTGGTCTGATTTATTGACAATAAGCTAGATATTGTGTAACAGGCTGATGGCAGTCTTATCCTGTAAGTACTCTAACCTGACCTCTCTGTTTCTGGCCTCATGAAGGACGAGCTGGAGCGCTTCCGGCCGCTGTGCTACAAGAACGCCGATGTCTTCCTTCTTTGCTACAGCGTTGTTCGCCCCTGCTCCTTCCGCAACCTGATCAACAGGTGGGTTCCCGAGATCCGTCAGCACTGTCCCGGTGTTCCTCTGGTTCTCGTGGGCACCCAGCTGGACCTGAGGGAGGACGTCCAGGTGCTGATTCAGCTGGCACAGAACCAGGAGCAGCCGGTGGGCACCGAGGAGGGCCAGCAGCTCGCCCAGGAGCTCGGGGCAGTGGGCTTTGCAGAGTGCTCGGCGCTGACCCAGAAGAACCTGAAGGACGCTTTTGATTCAGCCATCCTGGCCAGCATTCAGCTGACAGACAGTTGTAGCGTCCAGCAGCAGAGGCTGACTCTGAGGAAGAAGACGCCCGATAAGATCAAGAGCCTCTCGGAGACCTGGTGGAGGAACATCAACTGTCTGATGGGAGAGCAGAGCTGTGACTTCAAGTGAACAGCTGCATAATAAAAAAAACTGGGTCAGATCATGTTTGCAAAAGGTGCCAGTTGGGGGCAGTGGGGGGGGGATTATCACCACACAGGATGACATTACAGGATCAGCAAGTTTAGAATCAGAGCTCAGAAAGCCCACAAGTTGTCAGTTCAAATCCCCAGGCTGACAGGCAAAGTCTGGGTGGGAAAATGTACACGCGATGATTACGATGGTTACGAGGAGCACTACACAGCCCGTAAACACAGTTGTAAAACGTCCTCTGTGGCTCTGCTAGAAGATTTTCAAAGACTGACAGCTGCTCACTTGTGTTAGGCTTTAAAGTGATGGCGTGAAGTCTTGGTTACCAATAGGGAATTGAGAGTTTGAAAGCTTTTACCAGACAGGGAGGTTTTTTTAAGAGATACTATCGAATTGCATTTTGGGAAGTGTAGTATATTAAGATTTCCGAGCTCAAGTCAGAAAATCTTGGCCTCTGCTGCTTCAATATTTCCTATTCTCTTTTTCTATTTGTCTCTCACAAGTCCCCTGACTTAAACAGAAGTATAATTTCTGGAGTAAAACTCATCAGTGCAATTCTCGGAACCTCCAGCTGCTAAATTAGTGTTTGATACAGTCGCTGTTCTGGCCTGCAGGTTCTGAAACGGATTCAACCTTTAAAATGAAACCAAGGCGACAAACTGCTGTGTGAAATACTTTGTACATAAAATGAACGTTGCACTTTGCACTGCTGATCACCTGAAACAGACTCTTTTTGACACCCTTCTCCCTAATTTCTTCTTTCTTCTTTCTTTTAACCTCTGCATAACTGCTGGAATTGGCAGTAGGTAGATGAGCAGATCTTATTGTGGTTTAAAAACAACGAGGAACCTAATGTTAGTTTCTGTGTTTTCTACCCGACCTAGTTCATTGAGAATTTGTCCTGATGTGGGTAACCCCACCCATCTGTGGCTTCTAGGAGGGTAAAACAAACCCCACAAATGTTGTCAGACCCAGGTTTGGTTTGATGCAAGGACGATGTTAAACAGGGTGATCTAAACTTGATTGATGAATGTGTGTTGTTTGTCACCTTACACCCCAACATTACTAGTACTTTTGAATGTTAGTTTTTAGGTTACCTATTTATTTATTAATTAATTTATTTATTTATTATTATTATTCTCTTCGCCGTCACTGATCATGGAACATGCTCAGAAGCCTTGATTAAAGTTTATAACAACTGCATACAAGAGCATTTTATTTAACAAAAGAAGAGCAACATTTCAGTGTGAGCAGCATTGACCTGCTTCTTCAGTCTGCTCTTGATCCTTCAGACAAACAGGACATATTGAGAGGTTAATAGGGATCAAGTGCCGCTGATTGTCTCATCAGCTCTCTGATCTTCCTGACTAACTGCTGACCCAGACCAATCAGACTCACATGCATGAAAATGCATCCTTACCTCGAATACAGTTTTGGAGTCAGGCAGTCAGAATGGTTTTCCTGTAATCCCGAGGTAAGCATTTGCTGGGCTTTCCTCTGGGATTCAGAGTCGGCCCGGTGGAGGTTCCTCTGGTCGCAGCCTCCTCTAATAGGAACAGACAGGACCACCTGGACTGGATTAGACCAGCATATGGAGCCTGATTCTCTCCCCACTGAAGCCTCACACCATGAAAAGGCAGGAGAGGCAGATTCCTCCACCTTCAAGGGTTTATCTAGTTATTGTATGCAACCTGTAAGTGAGTCAAGTTTTAATTATAGCACTTAATGAACTGAGGATACACATGGCTTTACCACACACACATTCTTGGAACACTGCACTAATTATTTGGAGACTGACACTAACCATAACCACTAACCCAATCCCCAACGCTAACATCCAACCCAATTTAAAGAATTACATTGTTAAAAATCTCATTTTTTACTCCAAAAATGGAGAATGTCCACATAATGTGACTGTGAGTTCTCAGATAAATAACATGTTCACAGAAAAAGGGACAAAAACTAAATCAGGAAGGATGACACATCAATCCACACACCCACTTCACTAGATTACAGAACCATACAATCAGACGTATTAGTCTAATCATGAGTGTGTACTTGATGTACATACTGTATAGTATAGTAACAAAATATTTCAAAAATAAGGTTTGGTCTGATTTTATAACTCTTAACAAACTAATAAAAGTCAGTCTGAAGAAAATCTTCATGCAAAACAAAGAGAAGTCACTCAATAACCTGAATTAAACTGATATAAAATAATGTGAGTGGAAGTTGCAATCTGCTGTTATAGTCTGGTTCAGCCTGTAGGGTTGGTTTTCTGTGACATATGGTGGCTGTCATATTTAGCAGCACCCTGTCCAGAGACATGACAGGGGCAGACAGGTGACCTCACTTAACCTGGCCTAAATTCCCTCACAGAGACACAAACAGCTTGAGAGGTTTTACAGGCGGGTGTGTTACCTGTCTGGACATCTGACCACTGCTGCTGATCACCTGTGTTCATATTGCCTACAGCACAAGAGACCCATAACCATCGCCTGCATACACACTGAACTGCATGTTTACGCCACTTCATGTTTCAGTTCCTCTGCTTCTAGTCTGCTGCTTACAACAGAAGTGACGGAGGATCCACGGTCCTCATTCTATGTTATCTGAAGCTAAAATGAGACCAGCTGAGTTAGAAAAATAAAGTTAGCATCTACAAAAGAAGAAAACTCCCTCTTGTTTCCCTCTTCCCTTCATCCCTCCTCTGCAGCTCAACGAGGAAACACTGTCCTATAAACATAAAGTGGAATTTGTACTAAAATAACTGTTTATTGGGGCGATAAGAACTTAGTTTGTCTAACTAACTGAACCTCATAAACTTCCATTTTTCCACAGAATGAAGACTAAATGTTGTCCCACATCTTAATGACTGGAGATAGGAAGGAACTCCAGAATGAATGATTACAGCAGGATTACAGGAGGATGTCTGATAAATAATGATTATGGTATATATATATATAAACATTTTAATGTTTTTTTAAAAAGGTCAAAAGTCAGAGAAAAAGGGTTTTCCTCGTGTCTTACTTACAATTTTCCATGCAAGGCAAAGCAAACATGAGAAATGTAAACACAGCTTTCAAAATAGATAAACAGCAACATAAAGAGTTAATAATAGATAATAATGAGCTGTGATAACGATGCAGTAAAAAAACAATTCAGATAATGAGCACATGAATATGGACAATACATATTTGACCTGCAATATAACCAGTTGTGATCCTTAAAATAATAAAAAAAGGAAAAACTACAATCAGACATTGATTATGTACAGCAAGCTAAAACTAATACAGTCTAATACACTGGTTCTCAAACTATGGTACGTGTACCACTGGTGGTACGCAAGCTGCCTCTAGTGGTACACGGAGGAATCTGAACTACTGACAATAATTGTAAATGTAAAAATATATCAGCATACATTTCTAATGAAAATATTTAATATGCTTAGATTGCTGAACTGTAATTTAAAATACATTTTGCATTTCCTGTAATATTTGTTTCAATATCAGCCTTCCATGATTCATATTTCAATGGGGTCATCAGTGAAGAAAAGTCCAGATCCATGTTGTCCTCACACTCTGTGGCTTTTATTAACTGTACTGTACAGTGAAGATAAATCCTCCATAGCCGGCTGACGTCTTGTTCTGTGAAGGAATCAATAAAATGAGAACATTTTGGACAAAAACTGTAAAATATTTACATAAAAACAAGAATTCCAAACAGTTTGAAATAAAAGAGACAGCAGCAGCTCACCTTGGAGCACTGATGAAGTTGGGAGTGGCGTATACAACAGCCTCCTCCTCGTGGGGCTGAGCTCGGCTGGGGTTGGAGTGGAGAGCGTCGGACTGGTTCCTAGTGAATTGTACACTAGCGTACTGAAGTTCATCCATCTGCTGGACAAGAGTACTTTTTTACTCTCCATGTATTGGTAACTCTTAACAAAGAGAACTCAAGTGTCACTTAAAGTAGTAAATAAGACTTTTACTGCACTGAAGCATGAAATGATCATTCAGTAAAATATCTGCAGGGTAAAAACTGGACAGTTTTCAGCCAAATATACAAAGTCAAAGAACTGTGTGACCCTGAAGGCTGATGTGAGTCTGTGTTTGTTGTTGCAATACCTACTGCTCACCAGCAGAGGTCGATAAGATTTCACTTTGAGCCCCATTACCTACTAAATGGTATCACTTAAATAAAGTCCTGTACTAATGTGACAGGAGAATGGTCAGAAAGACACCATTTGATTAATTATGGGAATGTCAAGGATAAGTTCACAGGTTACAGTCTTTCCAGAATAACATTCCCTCTTTCTGTTACCATCCCTCTACTGAACGAGATACACTTTATTAACTAAGAGTTAAATATGGTCTATAACAAAGAAGCATGTTAAGATCGTAATGAATGAACAACAGCTCCCTTACATACTATCAATAAGCAGTAATTAGGGGGTTATGGAGGGAAAACCTTTAATAAATGGCCTAGCAGTTGTAGATTATGTTGATGAATAAAGTAGCCAAAGAAGAACCTGAAGCACCTGTGAGCTGAGTTTTAAACAGCCTGTGTTTCTTTGTACCTGTGCTCCGTTGTTTGGTCCCTCAGCAGCCTCAGGTTGTTGTTGTGAGGACCTCTCTCTTCTGACAGAAAGATACAAACAAAGAAACAAAGGAATAACTACACACAGACAGACTTTACAGCATATAGGTTCACATTCTCTCATACATTGATACAATGCTCACATGTACTCTGAGAGAGTTATTGGCTGCTGTAGTTGTTCCTCTTGTCCACACTGACCACAAAGAAATCTCTCCCTAGAGTAGCTTCAGTGTAAATGATGGCAGAAACCTTAAACCTTCCTACTGTGGAAGAACTGCACTCTAAAGCTCAGCTGGATCAAATTGGTATCTTCCACTGTCTTTTTAGTTTGGAAGGAGGACTGCAGATTTTGATCCTGCATCACTTACACTGACATTGCTTTAAGAGGGATCTCTTTAGGGTCAACATGGACAGGAGGAATAATCTCAAACTAAACCTCTTCCAATGTACAGATGTGAATCTTTCCTTTAAAATACAGAGTAATTTTAATCACAGGGAAACTGATTCAATTCAATTCAATTCAATTTTATTTGTATAGAGCCAATTCATAACAGAAGTTATCTCAGGACACTTTTCAAATAGAGCAGGTCTAGATCGAACTGATCTGCTCACCTCATCCACAGCAAGACAAAGAGGAGTATGAAGACCAGAACAATAGCAGCGATTGACAGAGTGACTGGAAACCTCCATGAACCCGCAAACCAGGAACCTGGAAAACAGTAATCAAGCACAAACACTGGGAGTTGCAGGAGTTCTTGGGTCCAATAGTGACTGATAGTTGGACAAAAATAATGTAATTTCTTGTGTAACACTGTTTTTTGGGAGGGGGCTGGTTATGTGTCACAATGCAAAAAATAATCCTAAAGGAGAGTTACTGTGACCCAAGGTCAGCTTAGAGATGTGTGAGGAGCCCTGAATGTGGAGGTGTGGTGGAACCTTATCAGGTGGATGTAAGATCTGCAGTTAAGGTGTGTGTAGGTCAATGATTCAACTCACCTGCTACAACAATCAGATGTAAGGTGGCGTTATGACGTCCTCTTGCATTCTGGGCTTCACAGTAATAATTCCCACTGTGTTCAGGTCTTAAGTCAGTAATGATGAAGATCTG